GCCGCTGCCGCCTTGTCTCCCAAGCTTGTCTCCCTTCATGATTTCGCCTCTGCCGGCTTGTCTTCCAAGCTTTTGTCTCCGTTCATGATTTCGCTCTTGGCTGCCGCTGCCGGCTTGTCTCCCAAGCTTGTCTTATTTCATGATTTCGGTTTTGGCTGCCGTTCCCGCCTTGTTTGTGAAGCTTGTCTTCCTTCATGATTTCGCTCTTGGCTGCCGCTGCCGCCTTGTCATTTTCTTGCCTGCCTTTGACGCGGATGCCGCTATAAGATGATTTAGGTCTTGTTTACCTTTTCCATCCTTTTCCCGGCTTTGAGTGGGATGTCTCCCAAGCTTGTCTCCCGCTCTTGCCATGCTATCCTTTTCTTGAAGTGCTATCTGGGGTCTATGCCGGTATAGCTTTTGTTTTTCGGAATTGAGCCGGCTTGAAGGTGGGGTCTAGATTTTGTTAGGCGTCACAGTGTCACACGTAGGTAAAGTTGTTGCCAAATGTGTTGCCTGGTGTTGTGATGAAGACAAATTGATAAACCGTGGTGAGAGATGTAGTTATATAGTGTCATCTACCCCTCTAGTCCTCAAGACAGTGCATTAGACCCCACGATCTCATTCCTTTTTCGCTAGAACAAACTACAACTATAACATTCACCTGTGAATTCCTTCTAGTCAAGTCCAATCCGACCATCCACTTCATCCGAGGAGTCCGAGCTGGGTGTGCAGCCGCCCATCGGCTTCTGGGACCCCTTGGGCTTCACCAAGACCGACGACGCGGCCTCCTTCCGCCGCCGCCGCTATGTGGAGCTCAAGCAGCTTGGGCTCGGAGGGGTGGTGGGGACCCCTGTCTACCACTACCAACCACTACCAAAGCCCTATAGATAGCAACATCTAGCGTGCCAAAAGTTCCAAAAAGGTCCACACTACCACACTACCACACTACCACTACCGCTAGCACGACCACAACCACACTACCATACCACTACCACGCTACCATACCACTACCACACTACTGTACCACTACCACGCTACCACTCTACCACTACCGACGAGGTAGTTGGCCTAGTTTCTTTTTTTGGTCAGGCTTTCGCCCACTCAACAGCAAAACCATCCGCTCAAGCAAACTGTTTTGTTTCCAGTTTGTTCTCAGCAACAGCGCCACCACACCACACACGAAACAAACTCTAGTGTATATTGACACTGGCACACCGTCAATCATGACTTTCCTTTCTAGCGACGCATCATCCCAATCTCTCCCTCCCATGCGGCCCGTGCGGCTTTCACCGCAGTCAGTGGCAATAAGAACATGTCTGCCTTGATTTGAAAGGCATGCCAGTGCTTTGTTTTTGCCTCGGAAAGGGGGCTTCCGCCACTTCCGATGAGTTCGATCGATTTTGGAACAGCTGGAATATATCATCCAGTCCGCGATCCAAAGCAGACCACCGACGTGTCGATGAGATGATTTTCCCAGATCCTCAAGATCTATACCCCACGAAAGTCGCCAAAGTTGGTTTTTGAGACTGTGGGTTCCCAAGGCATCTCTAGTGGTTTTAGTGCCCAGTCCATCAAGTGCCTTTTTTTGTTTTACCATCTGCGGAGATGATCAATAGGTCCATTCTTTCCTTCCATGCAATTCTTTGATGTGGGCAGTTGGGTTCAATCCTTGAGTGTTGTTTTGGTCTCAGGTTCTCCAGAATCCATGCGCATAGAGGAAGAGTACATAGACACACGGACAACAACTTACAGTATCAGCCCAGGAACACCAGGGTTCTTGGGTCCCTTGGGTTGATGTCCACACCTTCCGGGGCTGACCCCTATACTATACGTAACCCAATGATTTTACTTCAAGCAATCCCGGACCAGTTTTGTCCTAATATGAACGTCGATGCAGAGTGCAAAGACGGTGTTATTATCATTGTGCGAGTGTTGTCCATCTAATAGGTTGGAGGCCATCGCTACTAGGTTGGAGGCCATCGCTATTAGGTTGGAGGCCATCGCCATTAGGTTGGAACCTCAGTCCTCAGGCGTTTCCGGTGTCCACAGCAGTCCTCAGGCACGGACGTGTGGCCATGTTCGCCTGCCTGGGTTACATTGTGCCCGCACCTTGATTGATTTGGGAACGTCTGACACAGGCCCATGTTCTTCAGGCATGTGTGCCGATTAGCAGTGCTCTTGTTTGTGTGGCCTCCCACCAAAGCTTGTCAGATATCAGCTCCAGAGTTTAAACCACGAAGCATGTTTAGTGCCGTGCACTAGATCAACGACCTGTAGGCTATAGCAATTTGAACCATTTGAAGGCAGTCGAGTCATGTCATTCATTTTTTACTTTGAGTGGCACACTCAAAGGATCAGCTTTTGCTTTGGTGAGCACAATTATACCACATATGAGTCATATGAGGATTGTGAATTTGTATGACATGTTGCCAGTTTGTAGCAAATCCTTCGGGCCTTGATGTTGGTGATCACAGCAAACCGAACACAGCTGTGTCTCAGGAGTACTTCCGCTGGCCTGGCGACCTCTCGCCATCATTGGGCTTGAAATTCACGGATGTTCCCACAGGCACGGATGGTGTGATGGGCTGGGGGGCGGAATGGGCTGTTGGGTTGTGGGCAGGTTGATGAAGGCTGCTTGAAAGGCAAAACCGGCAAAGCAGATTGCATTCTTTTCTTGGCAAGTAACAAAGGATGAATGTGGGACGTGTGGTCAAAGAAGGACAAACCGATGAGGTTGGCGACTCCACTCTGATGTGGCCGGCACCACGGCGCAGGCTTCGCAGCCTTTGAAAAGGTGCCCCTGAGCGGCTGGGCGCAGATGGTTTTCTTTGCCGGCTCCGTGGAGCTCTTCCAATACGTGGCGGAGCCAAAAACACAAGCGGACCTGACACGAAACGAAAAGCAGACCTCGAAGCGAACGAAGGGTAGCATTCGATGCGCTGCGTGAACGCGTCGCGAAGCGTTCGATACGACCCGCGTTCGAAGAAGAGTGCAGCAGGCAGTGTTGGAGCCGTCCGATTGGTGGGATGGACGAGGTGTTCATACCTGGCACTGGCATGGTGGATGGCCATGTTAAGCAGAAAGCCACCGTGTCAACGTGTCTTGCGATCAAACTCCCGAGCCCACTGGCACACACCCGTATCAGATACCTGGCTTATTCCAAGATTTTGAAGGGTTGCACATGTTCTTTTCTTTCACTCAAGGCTGCCGAGAGCTGGAGATTTGCTCGGAAAAGGCTTTGCTTTGAGCCGGAAAGCACGCTCTCGGACTGAACAGCCGTTATTCCTTTTTTTCACCATTTTGTTCTCTGCATTGCATGACCAGGTGGATGATCCCAAGCGTGCCCCGGGCGACTTTGCGAACGCCGGGTTCTTGGGCGTGCCCAACAGCTACGTCAAGGCTGGGTGGCCAGAATGGAGTCGCCATGGTGGAAGTGGGACCATCCCGTGTTTGGTCGTGTGAACATGACTTTCTGTCCCCGGGATCTTGATGCCTATGTGGCCATCAACAACAAAGATGATCTAGCAAGTGCAAAAAGAAACTGCATCCCCATAAGACTTCTTCACATGGGCACCTCAATCTCTTTTGCCATGCCTTCATCCCGATGGGTTTCATGCGGTCATAGCTCGATTTTGCGGTCTCATTCAGTGCCCCGATCCTGACTCAGATTGTCCTACCACTTGGGCAGAACCAATCTGAACCAGCTCTTTCTTTTGCAATTGTTTCCGGTTCTCATCTCCCAATTTGGAAAGACCAGGACGGCATCACATTTCAGGCAAGCATACGCTTTTCGACAACATCATGCAATTTCTCAACAGTATGTCGAAAAGCAAAGCTGCAGCCATGAGTCTTCTACATTGACTTTTGAGAGGAAATGCACTAGAGGTATCTCCCGCAGACCAATGTTTCCGCATGCAGACAAAGTCTTAAACTTGTTGCAGGAATATGCTGCTGGTCCGGCACAATCACAACCTCTAACTTTATTTAGTACTGCCATGTCGCGTCACCAAATTTCAGCTTCAGGTTCCTTCGTTCTCGATTCTTGAATGGTCGTTCGACAAAAGACGTAAATTTCAGAACCAAGTGCGCAAACACATAGGCTGAAGAAACGCATCGATTCTCTTTTACCTAAATGCCAATGGCCGACATAATTTTGAGCTCGTTTTCAAGTTATATAAATGCAATTTCGGTTTCACGGAATCTTAGGTAGATGTCTTTTTGTTAAACCGGTCTTAAACCGTCTGAACAGGTGCATAGCTATCTCATGTCTCATTTGTTCATAGTTTGTCTTGAACCCGGCGAAATATCAAGGGGCTAGACAGAGTGGTAAGCCCGTACGATGTGGTGTAGAGGAACATGGTCTTTCCAGGTTGGATGGAGAGTTGTTCAAGAGGGTCTACCCTTCCAAACTGCCTCCGAGCTATCCACTTGCGCCTGTCCTGGTGGTTGATTTCCAAGCGTGCTCCATGCTCCACTTTTGGTTGGAACATGGCCAGCTTGGGATCCAATCAACGGCCTACGGGCCTAGCTGGGCCCGTCGTTGATGTCGGAAAGATCAATACCATCAACGTTTGTTGCTCTGAAGTAGATCGAACATCGAGAGTTTTCCGTGTGCAACCATAGACATCAATCGATCTATTGATGTCACCTGGCATGGCAGGCTGTCCAAATCCCTTCAGGCAGTTCCGTCCCCCCCACCCTCGTGCCGCGTCGAGCCGAGCGGAGCCGAGCGGACCCCGCGGTCTGGACGGAGGCGCCGGAGGGCACCAAGGAGACGAAGCTGGCGGCGGAAATCGCGAACGGACGCCTGGCCATGATGGCCATCATCGGCATGTTCTTCCAGAACGGGCTCACAGGCATGGATCAGTTTGGTGGAATGGTGGAAGTGGTCGCTTGGGTTAGCTGCTAGCTGGAGTGGAGGTGTGCAGTGTGAGAAACCTGGAGAAAGAGGGTTGAAAGAGTGAAGAAGACTCCAAGCGTAATCAAGGGAGGGAGGACCAGACTTGTGTGAAAGCACCTGTGAGAAGAGGAAGCTCCTCCCCAGCCCTCCCCGAAGGAGGAGGAACTGTGCGAGGATTCATGAGAACGCCTCCTCAGTGGCTGTTACATAACGAGGATTAACGGGGTAAGACTCCCAGATTGGTGCGGGGAAAGAACAAAAGAATCCAAAGACAGAACACCATGGGGTCCTAGTTCATGTCCATCAGAAGAACTTCTCACACATGATCTTTCCGCAGATGGATGTGGAATAGCGATGGCTTCCAACCTTACTAAGAGTGGCCTCCAACCTAATAGTGATGGCCTCCACCCTAGTAGCAATGGCCTCCAACCTAACAGCAACTATACTAGACCTTTCATGACCTGTCTTCTATTTCTTTTTCTTTGACCAGGATCACCTGATGCCACCAGCAGTGTTCTACAACCCGTCACGACCTCCAGTTACGCCAGGCCAGGCCTGGGGTGACTGGTCCCTCTACACGGATTCGCCCCTGCGGGCTCTGACGCCTGCACAGGTGGCGGGGGATTTCGCGGCCGGGCTTGTGAGTTGGGCGCATTTCCGTGGCCATCTTTGGGCAACATGTTGCCTAAAGATGTTTGGCAATGGGTTTACCTCACGGGATTCTTGATTCTTGGGTAGGTGGTATGGGAATAGATCGATAAGCGGATAAGCCTTAAGGATTTGAAAGATTTCCTGCCCCTATGCGGGTTCATCGGCGAACTTCGGTTTCAGCATGGTCAACCAAAAGCTGCAGGAGTGCATCGCAGGGACTGGTGGCCCTTTGCCAGACATGTTCTGGGACCCTGCTGGCATCAGCAGCAAGAAGAGCAAGGAGGTGGGCCATCGGGCTGAATGGGAGGAATTGAGCATCAAATGGTAGGATTAGCTTCGCTGAAAAAACTGCAAAAAGGTGGAGAGTGAAGAAGGCTTTGAGAAGAAAATCAATGCATTGAGACCATTCTGCTTGCAGACTTCCCTGCCATTCATGCCTCTTCATTTCATTGTTTTTCTTGGTGTTCAGCAGGGAATTCGCTGAACTGATTGATTTCATTGGAAAAATGGCTCCCCCCCCGCGAAAATGGCTTACTCAACCCTCCGTTCGGTTTCACCGCGCGAGGAGATCTTGGAGCTCCGCGCCCAGGAGTTGAAGCATGGCCGTGTGGCGATGTTGGCGTGCATCGGTTGGTTCCATGTGGCCGGTGGCTTTCACATCATCGGCGACTACGTGGCTGAATGGTTACGAATATGTTTTTTTTGTTGTTGTTTCTTTTATGTTGCTGGACGATTTTGTGAGTTCGGTTGGTTTGGCACGTTTTGCTTTGGACGCGTGTATTTTGGTGGAGCTGAACTGATGATGAGTAGTGAGTAGTGTGATTCTTGCCCAACAGCAAGAGCTTGGAGTCTTCAGCTGGATTGAAGCTGTTTCCACGCTCCGAAAAGGCATTGTACAGCCACAGTGTGCAATATCCTTTCCACTATCTGAATCCAGAAGAAACATGTTTTTGCGACACACACACACACACATGCACACAAAGACACACACTGCATGTAGAGTTCAAGTGTGTTGGTGTGTTCAGAGAACCACTCAGAAGGGAACCAGCGCTGTTTGTGCACATGTTTTGAAGGAATCATTTCTTCGTCCTGACCCAGGCCGTCGGTGTGCACTTGGATGACAACCCTTTGGTGAGCTTGACCCAGATGCCAATGGGTGGCATTTGGCAGGTGCCTGTGGCAAGGACACATCAAAACAAGTTGCCGAAGGAAAGTGATGGTTGCTTCGAAGAGCTTCGCACGGGTCTCGAAACTAGAGGGCTCAAACGTAAACGTAGACCCTTCAAAGAGATGGAAGGTCAGCACCCCTTTGGACTATTCTCTTCTTCTTCTTCCTGAGTTGACATGGCGGTAACCATGCAGGTTGGATGGAATCAACCCACCCTGTTGGCCTTGTGGGGAATTCGTTTTGTAACCCACACCACTCATGGAGCTGCTCAAACTTTGCCGGAAGGTAATACCCAACTTGAGAAACTCTCAGGCTGCTGCTTCTCAAAAATCCTAGTCACAAGGTCAGATGCACATGTTTTGAGAAGCAAAAGGAATGGTCGATGAGAAAACCTCTGCAAAGTGCGAAGTGCAGCAAGACTACTTCAACAACAGGAGCAGGAGGGCTTCAGAATCCCCCAACTACGAATCAAATTATAGGCTAGGTCCAGGTATATATGTCTATGAATCAACCATGAATGGTTTTAAGAGGTCAGATGGAGATGAGACTCTTTATCCCTTGCATAGATTCCTTCCTCGTTCCAGGCTCTTCCGGATTTCGACGTCCACCCAAGCCAGGTGGTCTTCACGATCATGTGCCTTGAGTGGCTCACCACCTACATTTGCAAGCCTCCGGCAGAGAAGCCCTGGGACATCCTGGGCTGGTCTGACATCCTCATTGAGGATGAGAAGAGCATCTGGAATCAGTTCAGGAAGGCTGAACTCCAGGAGCTGCTGAAACGGACCTCTGCTTTTGGCCCCTTGTTGTGTCCTTGAATGACCCCAATCGGTCATGGTGGACGCCCCTTTGAAATCGGAGATTCTTCACTGTGGAACCAGTTGGGGGATCCTTTTCCATGCTTTGCTCGGGGATTGTCGCTTAATTTCGTCCGTTTTGAGGGGATCGGTTGGATCCAAAAGGGAGGGATCCAACCTCCAAAAAAGGCCAGGGGTCATGAAGAGGATCCATTCATCCTTTCGGGACCATGTTATCACCTTGCACGATGATTCCAGGAAGGATATGGGGGAAGGCTGTTGGGGGGTTGACGCCCAGGGCCAGGTACCACGTGTCGGACGAGTCGCTTCGGGAACTGGTGCTGTTGATGCACAATGCGGTTCTGCTTTGCCTCGTTCCCTAAGACATAGCCAAGTGAAAGGAGGAGCCAAGCACTCCCAGAGCCCTGAGCCGTTGGGGAGGACCAGTTCTTGTATCAGGTGGTGCAGGGAACATGTGATCCTTAGCGGCTCACACGATTCTGTGTGGCGTGAAGCGCAGTGAAGGGGTTCCTTTCTATGCAAAATAAGTTCACAGTCTCTTGCTCCAACAACATCAAATGTTAAGTGCTGCAGGAGTTTCCAAAAGGCTTGAAATTTGAGAACGGTTCTAACAATCTCAGTGCCTTTCGCCCATCCAGGAGTTGAACAACGGCCGCCTGGCGATGATGGCCATTGTCGGGTTGATTACCCAGGCTGGGTCCGGGGCCAGGTGGATGGCAGTCCCCAAATCCATCAAAACACCAAGATATTTAGATTTCCACAATGAAGCTTATGGGCGCGCACATCAATCAGGTGGTCTTGATCACAGATAGCACACTCCTGGTCCATCCTGGTAGGTTGGAGGCTATCGCCCTTAGGTTGGAGGCCATTGCTTTTAGGGTGGATGCCATCCTGAATCCTGGTACTCCCGACCCGCTTGTGACTTGGTCCGCGTGCTGGCCGGGCCTCCCGCGCCACAAGCAGGATGTCCTCTTCGGCGAGTATGGGCAGCGCTTTGCACAGCTCTCGTGGGACAAGAACTTCTTCCCCCCGGACCAGGGTGTCTACGAGCCCTTTGCCACGTTCTCCTACCCGACCATCTTCCCAGAGCTCTGAGATGGCCAAAGATGAGGGAAAGATAGGGTTTCACAGACGACCGCCTCTGGCTGCGATTTTTTGCCAAAGATGGGTGATTTGGGACGGACATTTGGGGATTAATGATGAATACTGCATCATGAAGCAAAACAAAACACGACCGGCGGACGGGCCATAAGGAACCTCAACAGGACGACCCTGACATGCTCCTTTTTTTAGGCCTGAACTGAGTCGCTGTTAAACGTCCGAGTTGACAGCTGTGGGGCTCAAAGAGAGAAGCCTCCAAGTGGGTCCCTTTTGAGGCCCGATGTTCAACACGGGAACATGCTATAGTTAGAGTTCTTTTCGCCGAAGTCATGGAATCATTTGATAAATCACCAACACCCACACCCGCACACCCACACAAAAGTTCCTGTTTTCACTTGTCCCCTGTTGTGCTGGGGCCTCAGCAAGTTGTTGACCAACAGACCACATGAGTTCTTCACGCACCCAAAACTCTTCAGTCTTTAGTCCATAGGTCTCCTATTTGAGATGCCCAATGGCTGAGACAACACCTCCACCGATCCTGGGGTAAATAGAAGACTAGTGTCCCCTTGACGTACATGTGCATGTTCCAAATTCTATCTCTTAGATGATTGTACATGCAGGGGTCCTGACATCTACCTCTCTAGGACTGGAATCATTTTTGACACATTCCCAACGGTCGCGCTGTCCCGTCCATCGCTGGGTGGAGCCATGCCGAAGGGCGATGGCCTAGGCTTCGTGTCCAAGGACCGTCGGAGTGGGCCGAACCACTGGTCTTCGTTGGGCCTAGTAGCGTCCGATCGCTCCTAGTAGTAAGGCCAGGAGACCCTAGTGGCATCCCTGCTCCTAGTAGCGATGCCAGGAGACCCTAGTAGCTTCTTGCTCGTAGAGGAAATTCGGAGATTCGTCTTTGACATGCTCGCCTTGTGGGGCTCCACAGCTTTGGGAAGAAGAAATCAACCCTTCTCACAGCTTCCATCCATCGCCGGGAACGAATCTCCGGCCTGCGCGGGCGCCCTGGTGCCTGTGAAAATCCGATGGAACCTCCGAACCTCCCGAGGACTATGCGGATCTCTTTCGCGAGCTGCGGGGTGACCTGGCCAACAAGGCACCCTTGCGGAGGGAGTGAAGGAAGAGAAGCTTCACAGAGAGGTGTACTTGCTCCACCTTTGTTCCATGAAGCTTTTCCAAGAGTGGGTCCTGTTCTTTTTTACCTGTTCTTTGATTGAATTCATATCTCAGTTTTTTTTGAAGTATATATGATTGGGAGTATTTTGGTCAGAAGCATCGCAGCAGAGTTTCCAATTGGTACGTGTGAAACAAACATGGAAAACGGTAAGCTCACCACCTGGTCAGGATTTTTTTCCCTTTAGGGAGGCGGAGTGGGATCCGATTGAACAACAAAGTATAACAAAGTATACCCAGGCTTTTGCACCTTTTTGTTCACTCACCCGCAATTTTCAAAACATGGACTAGCACGTTCAAGCATGTCAATTCCATATTTGTTTTTGGTTCAGCCATCTCTGCTGTCAAAACCAACAATCAGGATGCTCTAGACGTTTTCGCCTGGGTTTTCGCATCCGGTGAAAAACCCTTCGACCCACCGATGTCAGACAGGAGCCGAGCTCACTGAAGCCGCCCTACCGCGTGGCCAGTGCCAAATGGCCGAGCTCCACGCGCTCACCGTCCCCCGTGGGCGTGCTGCGGATGAAGCGGCTGGGCCATGACGACTGGACCTGAGTGGTGATGACTCCGAAATCGCAACCTCCAGGTCAACTGATATGTGGGACATCTCGCCAAAATCCTCTCCACCTTGAATCTTGAAAATGCTTCGGTCTGCCGAACTCTGACTTTCAGACCCACTTTTGGGCCGAAGAAAAATACAAATCTTCATCATCTTTCACCCAGTGGCGGTGCACATCATGAGCTCTGCAAGGAAGTTCTCTTCACGAAAGAATGCTGTTGCCATGTCAGGAACGGGAGAGGCAGACTGTGGGCGGGGCGGCATTGCTGTTCCAAACTGCACAGCTCAAGGTTATCCTAGAAAGTTCTCTATGCCCCTTTGTCACTATTAACACTTGCATACTTTGGATTGGCAGCTGCCATGGCTTGCTGAAAATGCCTCAAACACCTGCTTCACCGGTAACTGGAGCATGGGCAGCGCGCTTTACGTTCCGCACCCTGAGGATTCGCATGCCTGGGGATCGCTTCCCCATTGACGCAGTGGTGCAGGGGGAGTACATGAAGTGGAGCATCGTGGAGGCAGAACCACCGAGCGCTCTTAGGGTGGAGGCCATCGCTATAACCGCCGAGTTGGAACACTTTCCGTTTCGACTCATGGGAGGCTCAACGGTCGAGTTTTGGGTGGGAGGCTTTTTGAGTCGGGTTCCGAGTGCAGCTTGGTGTTTCACCATGTTTCACCCCCAAATGACCCCGTCTAGAGTCTAGAGGTTTCACTTTGTTTTCTTTTCAATGGCCGTACGATGCTCGTTGGTCAATCCGTCAGGAAGCAAAAAGGAGATGTGAAGACGAAGATACAAAGGAAGACCTGTTACTACTAGTAAGGCACTTGTTACTACTAGCGTGGCACTTGTTTCTACTAGCGTGGCACCTGTTACTACTAGCGTGGCACTTGTTTCTACTAGCTTCTTGTTACTACTAGTAAGGCACCTGTTACTACTAAAGTGGGTCTTTTGGAGTTCGACCATTTTGAACGCCATCTTGATGCATGTACCAAGGGGCGTGCCCTTGGTCGAACTGGCCTCTAAAAGGGGGTGTGTCCTTTGACCTAAACATATCACACATACGAGGATTCTGTGCACAAATACCGAAGACCGTTCTTGATAGCCCATCTACACAGCAGTCTTCCCAACTTGCGAAGACTAAGGGCCCAACTCGTTTGAGGATTTCTGACTACCGCGACCGGGTCATCTTCAAGTATCTTCTATAGCTCAAAGTGAGGGCTCCAAAGTTCACTGAGTTGAAGTCCAGTGCCGCGCCAGGCACTGATGCAATCTTTCAAGAAGCTGTTGACACTCAGCTGATACAGGGCCAGTCTTGGACAGAGCTCACGGATAGAACCAACCATGATGTTGAAGTACATATTTACTGCACCACCCAAGAAACATCAAGAAACCCTACAGCAGCTGCAAGAACCATTCTCAGGTGGTACAGGATTTTGTATTAGTTTTCACCAAAGCACGAATATCGTGAGTCCTTGAATCTGGTGGAGTTCTCATCACCGATGTAGTTATTTACCAGATGGGATAATTCTCTGATGAATGTATAGGATGAAATAGAAGTGATCGAACTGCTACTGATAAGCGACAAAACTGTGTCGGGAGCCTCTGTTGTTCCAAGCATGCATAGAATCATCAACACTTTTTAAAAGCATCCCTTTGAATAGCTACACAGATGCCCCCGGCCCGTCCAAGGAAGATTCAGATCAACACCGGCAGCATCCTAATGTGCACTGACGAGATCAAGATCCTGGAGGTTCCAGCCTAAATGAGTGGCACAGCACGTGGGGTTCCACGGGGTTGTGGCTTCCTCGCCGATGGTTCCCCTTCTCTAGCAACCGGCTTTTCCACTTCCCACCGGCTTCAGCCTATCAAAATGTGTCTTTTCGGCTCCATTGTTGTGAGGTTCATACGCCCTCGATGGCGGGGAACCTGTGGCAGTTCTGTGAGTTTCGCTTTGATTACCAGGCGCACGCCAGGATTTGATTCTGAGACAAGGAGTGATCTTCAAGATTCGTCAAGTGTATGGCTCAACCATGGATGAGAAGATGACAGTTTGAGAATGCTTATATTTCATACTACTTTCCCTGCTGGGCTTTGCTGCTTCAAAAGGCTACAGTAAGAGGCACCGCATGTTCTCTGACCTTATTTCATCGACATTGGGCTTGACGAAGTCCAGTTCGCGGAACTGGAATCTTCTTCCCTGGCGAGAAAGAATGATGCCAAGAGAGAACAGAAGTATACAGAAGTCAACTGAGTCCGCTGAGTTAACTGAGGATAATAGATATGGAAAACTCACCAAACCGATAGTATTTGCAGACCCGAAAAATCCAATGTCCTATTATGTCCCATTAGTTTTTGCAGTTCGCTTTGACCTTCCATCACATCCCAGATTTGGATGCTCCTTCGATGCTGCCCCAATGATTGGTCCTCTCTCTGCAGGTGGCTGTAGAGGAGGAGGCTGCCTTGGCGTTGGTCTCTGGTGTGCCGGAGGCTTAGTAGATGATAGCATTTTTTGGACTATCCAAATTGCCCTCTGACACCTTTGTAACAAACACCTGGTAGAGTGATCTCATCTTCCAAACCTGTTCGTGCGTGCGATGCTGGTTTTCACCTAGCAGGGCCACAGTGCCCCCTACTAGTATCACATCACCTTTCGCATGTGAGTGCCTGATTCCTTTGATATTCCGGGATTGGCAATTTCTTCTTAAAGTTACACATCTGAAAAGTTGCACCCCAAAACTCCACTGGTAGGACCCGCCTCATGATTTTCAGGCGCCCCTTTTTTGGACCCCCCAAAAGCCGGTCCGCGCGCGAGTGGGTCATCCGGAAACCCTCGAGAACCCGGAGTCTTTGTCACATGTAGTAGATTCTCTAGCAACTCAGAAGGAAGTTAGTTAGGAAGATTATCTTTCTCTATCAGGTGATTCTTCTGTTAGCATCTATAACGGGGCCTCTTGTAGATGAGCACGGCGGTTTCACTGCAAAGACGGCGCATTTCTCTTCCCCAAACTTCTTAAGGAGCTGACCATGAGTAAAGCTAGTTTGGGTGGTAGTACAGGGGGTGAATGCGACTTTCATTTGCGAAACTTAACCGTTAACCTCCACTTCTGAGGTTCAATCGCATGGCAGACTTTGAGGCAAGCTTTTGCCAGAGTCTGGAGTTGCTTGGAGAAGACAAGCGTTTGCTCGTATCAGGTCAGGTGTGTCAGAGGCAAACATCAGTAGCACATTTGGCAAGAGGACTTGAGGGTAGGTGCAGTGTAGATCCATTTGGGGTAACAAATTCGGTGAGCCTTTGGGCCCTTTCAAATGCCGTGCAACGCACCAACCTGAGAAATCTTTGGATTACAAGAACCAGCAATTGAGTAGGATGATGAGCCACTGACCAACCACTTCCTACGCCGTCAGTGGATAACCTTTGACCTTTTGTATATTTTTCCTGAAGCAAAATGACACAATATAGCTACTAGTAGCTTCAGAAGCTACTAGTAGTAATGCCCTTGTTCGTAAACAACACCCTTGTTACGAGAGTGATTTCCCCATTCCAAACGAAGTCGAAAAAGGAAGAGCTTCACCGAGTGCCGGGTCACCGAGTCCAAGGAACAAGTTTCGCGAGATCTACCACCTCACAGCACCCGGAATGGGACCGGAACGGGATGGAACAAACGGCACCGGATTGGAGATTCCACGGTTTTTCCACCCGATTGGATCCCAAGATTGGTGATCAGAGACTTTTGAATGGACTTTTGATTGGTAGATGATGTTGAACCCCATGGTTCGTGGTAGATTCCAAAAGGCAGTTTTCCTTTTGGTGCTCCTTTGTGCTCTCACATTTTTGGGTGAGAGTTGGAAGGTCCTGTGATCTCAGACGAACGTGCGCGAACGTGCGCGAACTGGAGCTCCGCGCCTGAAGTCGAAATTTGGTTCTGAAAAAGGAAGGAACACGCGAAAAGAATCCAGTTGGAAGTTGGGCATATATAGTTATGTTTGCGAAAGAAACCCACCAACTTCTTTGAAGAATCATATATATATATATGTAATCAATTTGAGGGCAGGCTGAATGAAATTACTTCTCAACATTGAAGTCTGTGAGAAACTTTATCTGGATAGTTATTACAGTCTAATTCTGCTGCCTTAAACAAAGAGTATATTGGCACTTCATCTTTGGCATCACGATCGACGTGGCCCCAAAGATGGCTCGTGGAAGAGACTGAAGAATAGGAGGGGCTGAAAAACAGTTGCTGTGCGTTCAGACGGGTGTGTCTCATTCTTGGAAATGGAACTGTCCCAGGTACTCGGGCTCATCAACAAGCGCTTTGCACTCATGGATGGTCGAGCCGTTTGGAATCAGCTGCAATTCTTTAAGGTGAGCTGTGAAAGCCTCTGGGAAGAACAAGATACAACAAGTAATTCTGTCTCGAAACCACCGTTGTAAATTAACAACAAGTACTAGTAGCTAGAAGCTACTACTACTAGCTATGATTCTTCCCAGAGATTGTGATTCTACAGATGAACCTTCCTTTGAGCAGCAGAGAGGCCGCCACACAGCGGTACGGGTGATGCGTCAGGCAGCGGAGGTCAACGACACCAACGAGATCACCCGACTCTTGAAAGAGGTGGACGTGAATGCTGTGCAAAAGGAGATGTGAGGGTTTGGTGTCCGAGACTCATGTGGAGAAAGGATCTGTTTGTGCAGATCCATTGGAAAAGGTTGATCTTTTGGCCCAATGGTCATGGCTTCATAGTCATCTCATTGGCATATGCATTCAGGAGCCCAGTGGAAGGAGTTGGACAAGTTTATGTTGAAACAGACATCTTTGAGTCATGATGTGCCATGCCGAACATTCAACGCATCTGAGATCGAGTGGTGGGTTGAAATGACTGGGACGCGCAGGAGATCCGTTTTCCTCAAGGTGTACTAGATGAGGACATCAGAAGCAGATTTTATGCGCCGAATTTCCGTCGATTTCGTGATTTCGCTGGGACTTGCTGGTATTTTTCTAGAAGGGAAGAAGACGAGCTGAAGATCCTGGCTCCTGATTCAATTCTTTCTTGTATCCACCTATGCGTAGGGATAGATTCGCATCCCCAGCGAAAACTCTTCTTAATTCTGTCAATTTGGTGTGATGTCGAGTTTTCTTCTGGACCATGTTCGGGCCTTCACCTACATAAAAACAACCAATGAACCTACTTCTGCGGATCAGGACTCCTACTTCTCAGTGGTGACCCTGCAACGTACGCCGCTGCTGGCTGCAGCAGAAGCCGGACGATTGGAGGCCCCGTGGTCGACGGCTGGCGTGAAGTCATTGGAGTTGTTTCGATTTAGATTTAGATGGCTGAAAAACTTTCTTCTTTCTTTGTTTCTAGTAGCAATGGCCTCCAACCTAAGAGCGATGGCCTCCAACCTACTAGCGATGGCCTCCAACCCACTAGCGATGGCCTCCTGAAGATATGACAGATGTAGATGTAGACCTTTTGACGATTTATCGGGACAAAGACAAAGCACGCTCCGCGGCAAGGTCCGCCCGCACCGCCATGAAACAGTTGCCCAGCAAAAACGTTTTTGAGGTTGATGTTGCCGAAAACGCCACTATGTACCGTATTTTACAGTGCTTTATGCTCTGTGAGGCAGACACCACTGCAAATAGCGATGTTTTTGAGCTTGCCGTGGCCCAAAACGCCGCTATATACAGTGTGTTTGAACCTGCTGTCCAAAAACACCGCAATGTGCGACATTTTCAATAACATGGTCGCCAAAAACACTGCTATTTGCAGGGTTTTTAACATTTTCACGCAAAGACATCAAGCCTCGACAATGTAAAGAACACAGCAAAAACCAATGTTATTTCTGCCCAACAAAAACGGCGAAAACCGTCACCCAAACAGCTCGGAAATCACAAAATCTGGCCCCTGACCTCCCCACAAGACACATGGAACAAAACGCATCTCAAAACCGAAAATCGAAGCCAAACGTAAAGACACATGGTTTGTTCATGTTTTTCTTGCCGGTTCCGGGCGGGTGCGTGCACGAACTAGTCCATTCCGTGCTGTAAAAAACAGTGTTTTTTTAAGTCCGCTGTCGCGACCCACCAAAAACCAATTGTTATTGCAAAAAAAGGGCCCCCTCCAGGTAAACCTGTACCTTACAGTTGTTTATGCCATCCGGATGATCACGCCCTGAGCACCTTCGGTGCGGGTGGATTTTGTGGCAAGAGTGCCGAAGATATGACCAATGATGTCGAATGCAGGGTGCTGGGATCCTGACGCCAGCCGCAACCGGGAGGTGAGCTTGTTATGAGGAAGAGAGCAAAAGACAGCATGCCAGGATCCGACTCCCTGATGGGAGGCCCATGCAAGATGATGAGCTGGTGGAAAGCGAGGAATTTGCAACAGTGCGATTCCAGCAAGGTTCTTGGAACCACGGGAGCCAGAGAGTGAGAATGAGACCGAGGAGGATGTCAACATGATGATGCCGGAAGCTGGAAATGATGAGCCAGCACCAAGTGGGGGAATAGACCCTACTATGAACCAGGCCACAGGGGCCCGGATTTCTGATGGTGAATTTAGAATGCTTGAAGATTTGGACAAAGCCAAACCCCGTGCATGTTTGAGAGCTCGACAGCATTTGCAGAAGCTGGAGAGCGAATGGTGGGCAGCTGACCAGAGGAGGGATAATGAATTGAAGATGAGGATTTACAATGACATGAACCATCATTATCCCTACCTCGACTGCCAAGCATTCCCTTCGCAATAGAGCGGTGAAATCAGAGCGCGATCTTAGCTACGTGCTCACGCTTTGAAGGAGGAGTGCGAAATTTAAGCTACTGAGATGTCATGTAAGATGACACACACACACACATATCGAGAACTGTACCGCAGGCTTTCGAGTTCATGAAAACGCCCGCAATAATATATATATATATATATCGAAGGTGGGAGAAGATGCTGACAGAACAAGGCCGTGACCCTTTGCTTTTCCTGGACAAATTGAATAGTTATGCCAGTCAGCTTCAATAATTGGGTTGCTAAGGACAGCGACTCTCCAGAGTTTTGATCTCCCGTGAGACGACCCAGTCTCACGTGACCTTTGTGCGGTGCCACACTGCTGCGTGCTGTAGGCGGTTCAGCTCCTGGTGCGTGCCAAGGCGGAAGTGAACTATCAGGAACTGGCTCTGGAGCCCAAAGTTGTAGTGTGAACAGTTTCGGGGGAAGGCCAATTGAAATAACAGAGGCCGTCGCTATGAGGTTGGAGGCATCGCATCGCTATAAGGTTGGAGGCTATCGCTAGTACTCGTAGTTTCGGGGGCAAGCCAATTGAATGATTTTCTAGAAAATGTCACTCGAGGCGAATGTGAGAATCTGATCGCAAACTCGTGGAAGCGACCTGAAACATCCCTCGTCCTTTCAAGTAGGACACCTTTGGATCAAAACATTCTCGCAGAAATGTTCCCCTAAAGTTTTCGACTGTGTTCCACACATTCTCGCAGGACACCTCTGGCTTTCACGCCTTGTACCTGGCAGCTGGCTCCGGTGTTCCGGAGGTGGGAGCTTTTGGTGACGGGTGGCAGATTCGCAGATTCCGTGCAGCTTTGGAACAAGAAGATGAATCAGAAGACCCAATCCAAAAGATGAGTTCCCAATCAAAACACCTTCCAACAAGTTCATTTGAACTCTTTCCAAACATGGATTATGGGGTAATTGTTCTGTGGACATCAAGTGACCTCCAGATCTTCCGAGCTCCTTCTGAACGGCTTCAGCCAAGTAATACTGCCAGGTGGTGAGCTGTTTGCTGCTGCAAAATGCAGATCTGCATTTGAGGAGCCGAGCGGTGCACTGGAACTCATCGGCGCCGTCAAGAGAAGGGGATGGGATACGATCCAACACATCCACACAAATCACCCATGACGGGTGGATCGTGGAGTTTTTCCCAGAAATGTTTTTCGGAAAAGTGCAGGTCTTGGTATCATCCCTGCAGAACATTTTGTAATTCAAAGGCTATGGAGCAACATAGGCCAGATTTTGCTTGTGTTTTGTTTAGTCAAGTCGTGCACACATCAAAAGTGCAGATCCCTTGGGAGGTATTTATTTGCTGTTTGAAGGCTCAAGGTGATACTCAGCAAGCAGTTGAGCAAACATTTTTCTGCTAGGCAGCCTGCCGCAGTAGGCCCCTGTGCACTTGTGGCGTCCATGGACGCATGTCACCTATGCCATAAGATGACATTCATTGATGTCAAGAGGACAGAGCCATTGCAACGATCCCAAAGCTTACCTGCCTTGAAATCATCAAAGTCAGAAGAGGATGCAGAGATCGATGAGTACATTGAGCTATTGCAGACACGAGCCACCTACTCATACTGTTTCTTCCAGCGTATCCCGGCCCTCGGACCGGGCCAGCTTGCCGCGCCGGCGCCGCAGTGAAAGCTAAGGCCTTTAACAGGAGTCAGATGGATGGGCCAAAGTGACATGCTTCAGGTAGGCCGCTGTCACAGGTCACCTCATGGCTGTGAGCAATGGTCCTTGCGAGCAATAGTCCTGAGCAAGTCAGCCTCCGCGACATTGCCGGCATTACGCCATTTTCATGCATTTTCAGCATTTCCATTTTCAACACGATTTTTGGAGTTCACAGACATTCCGTTTCCTTTTGTCTTTGAGAGAAGAAGCGCTTAAAAAAGGCCACTGGTGCGACTGTCACTCCTCCCAGGTGTACTCATGAAGGCTTCCTCGTGGATGGGTTCCTTCGTGTCTATTAAAATTGGGAGACCTCTCAAAGACCTCAAGGAAGAAAGCAACATAGATCTGTCCACGTATTAAAATACTAGTAACAAGACGCTACTAGGAACAAAGGGCATCGCTATCTAGGAGCAAGAAGCTACTAGCAGCTCCTGGCATTTCTACTAGGAACAAGAAGCTACTAGAAACAAGGTTGCTTGTTTGGTCATGGATCACAGGGACCCCGGAATCCCGATATCGATCACATCCGGGCACCATGTGTCAGTCTGGAGACCTGGGGGACCTGGGCTGTTTGGAGACACTGGATTTCAGTTCCAGTTCGCACTTCGCTCCACCACAGCTGTTTGGAGAATACCAGACATTGGTTTCAGGAACATCTACAGGAAACCCGTAATTTTGAAGACCATGGTTTCAAATGGGGTCTGGGAGAGAAACTGAAGCCCTGCACTCCACATGGTTGATCACTGGACAACGCTGCAGGAACCGCAGCCGGGCACTCAGGGGGTTGCACTGGAGCAGTTGGGAATGACCGGAGATGGGCTGGTGAAGTCACCAGTAAGTTAAGTTGAGATCTAGATGACCCTGTTGGCAAATATCACCATCAAATACCTCCTCCTTTCATAGCAAGAGACCACATGAGTGCGAGGCTATTTGTGGATGTATAGTGTACATTACGTATTTCCATTGTTTTTTTGGTTGGGTAGATGATTCATTTTGTGGCTGAGCGCTTGCCGGCCTTTGAGACAGGCAGATTTGTTCTCAAACTCGGGTATGATTTTTCATCCAAATATCACATGCTCGAGACGAGAGGGTGTTTGTAGGCAGAATGCACGATGGCGGAGTCAATAATATCACACCGTTGGCTACACTTTTTGTTGAGCAGACAGAGGAAGCTTTCTTTTCCAACGACGGACGGTGCATCCAGGAGCCCAAATCTTTGCCGCCACCGCATCGTCCACGCTGGTTCCCCCCCATCGTCCATCGCCCGTGCGCATCCCACGGCATCCCGACTGGAGCGCTCAGCAGGCGCAGTCGGTGGCGGGCGCAGTCCGTGGCAGCGCCTTTTTCCGGGGCTCAGGTGGCTATACAGCCCTGCACAATGCAGTCGGATGTGGCCAGGCCGAGTGCATCAAGGTGCTTTTGCAGGCTGGGAAAGAAGTTTTTCCCCAAACAGGTTTACCTGTGAGGGGTTCTTACTCCTTTTAAAGGGGTGCATGCTCGGGCCGGATGATTTTGAGTTTGTCTCCGGGCTTGTGTTCCTGGCCGCATGATTTCACCCTTGTCTCCCACTTGTCTCCCACTTGTCTCCCAGTAAGCTTTGGATGCTCTCAGTGCTCTGGCCGCATGATTTTATACTTGTCTCCCATTTGTCTCCCACTTGTCTCCCAGTTGTCTCCCACTTGTCTCCCAGTTGTCTCCCAGTAAGCTCTGGATGCTCTCAGTGCTCTGGCCGCATGATTTAATACTTGTCTCCCATTTGTCTCCCAGTTGTCTCCCACTTGTCTCCCAGTTGTCTCCCAGTAAGCTCTCGATGCTCTCAGTGCTCTGGCCGCATGATTTCAGGCTTGTCTCCCATTTGTCTCACTTGTCTCCCAGTAAGCTCTGGATGCTCTGAGTGCTTGGCCGCATGATTTCACACTTGTCTCCCATTTGTTTCCCACTTGTCTCCCGCTTGTCTCCGAGTAAGCTCTGGATGCTCTGAGTGCTCTGGCCGCATGATTTCACACTTGTCTCCCACTTGTCTCCCAGTAAGCTCTGGATGCTCTGAGTGCTCTGGCCGCATGATTTTATACTTGTGTCCCATTTGTTTCCCACTTGTCTCCCAGTAAGCTCTGGATGCATGATTTTATACTTGTCTCCCATTTGTCTCCCACTTGTCTCCCACTTGTCTCCCAGTGAGCTCTGGATGCTCTCAGTGCTCTGGCCGCATGATTTTATACTTGTCTCCCATTTGTCTCCCAGTAAGCTCTGGATGCTCTCAGTGCTCTGGCCGCATCATTTCACGCTTGTCTCCCATTTTTCTCCCACTCGTCAAGCTCTGGATGCTCTCAGTGCTCTGGCCGCATGATTTCATACTTGTCTTGCATTTGTCTCCCATTTGTCTCCCACTTGTCTCCCAGTAAGCTCTGGATGCTCTGAGTGCTCTGGCCGCATGATTTCAGACTTGTCTCCCACTTGTCTCCCAGTAAGCTCTGGTTGCTCTAGTGCTCTGGCCGCATGATTTCACACTTGTCTGCCATTTGTCTCCCATTTGTTTCCCACTTGTCTCCCAGTAAGCTCTGGATGCTCTGAGTGCTCTGGCCGCATGATTTCACACTTGTCCCCCACTTGTCTCCCAGTAAGCTCTGGATGCTCTGAGTGCTCTGGCCGCATGATTTGTGTTGCAGTTTGCCAAAGGGACAGCTCGCCATCTTGCGACATGTTATCAGACAAGCTTTGTTACTGATTGCTTTTCGCGAGTGTTGCAACATGCGGAAAGCGCGAAAAGCTCCATCCCAATGGCTGCCCGTCTGGAAGTGCCAGTTTCAGAAGGAGAATCCTAAGAAGGCAGGCCATCATGAGAGCTTGGTTTTGGATCCAACAACATGGATATATAGTCGGATATATATATATACACTTTTTAATGTATGTATGTATGTATGTATGTATGTATGTATGTATGTATGTATATATATGTTTATTTGTAGCATATGCAGATGTATGTTTACATATATATAAATGGTATGTAAAATGCGGTCTATATATACATATGTATGTTTTTAAGTCTTTGAGTATGCAAACATGTTCTGTGTCATGGCAAGCGGCAGGCGCATTCTCTTGCTTGGCACCGCTTTACAAGTTATGCTGCGGCTGTGACTATTGGAGAAGCTTTTTGCGGCGGAGCCAATCACAGGGACTTGGATTTTGATTATCAACGAGGCTATATGACGTGTCCTGAAGCAGATGAGCAGATTAAAGCTGATTTGGAGGAGCAGGTTGGGGTTGCTGGGAGGGAGGCTTTGATCTATGGATTGCTTTTTGTTACGGCTGCTATGTTTTTGTACTTTTGAGCTTTGCAAGTGGCGCTATTCGGTGAGCGCATTGGAGGAAAGTCTTGTTGAAGCTCACGGGCCTGAAGCTCCAGATCACGACGGAAAACCGGCAGAGAAGGCATTGTTGCTTTAGTGGTGTGCCATTCAATTAAAGCTTTGCTTTGCTTTGAGATATGAATGAACATGTAAGCAAGCGTGTTCTTTTGCCAGGATTTGGTGGCAATTCATGTGAATGAGGATGATTTGCCGGCTGTGGCAGTTTGTGATCGATTCTTGTTGGAGACTATGGTCAATGGAAAGACAGATGCAGCTGAGAAAAGTTTGCCGGATAACGATATCATCTTTGTTGTTAGCAAGGGCGTTCAGACCGATATAACAGAGCTTGGGGCTTTGTCCTGCACTTCTGCTTGCGCTGGGGGTCACTCTCAGTGATGGATGGTTGATTGTATCGATGTCAACATTTTGGTCGCAGTCACGCGGCATGTGACATGATGAAAAGCGGAATGCATATATACTGTGTGACCCTTTTTGGCGCCTGGCTGCCCTGACTCTGAAGAGTCGTTGTGGCAGATGGCCTGCTGCGGGTTCATGAGGGTTGCGTGATGGTAGCCAAAAAGAAGATGTTTTTACTGACTTGCGAAAGCCAGCATGTTTGAATGCTTTTTTGCCGTTGCGGTGCTTGTCAAACACTGTTCGCAGCAGAGCAATGCCATTGCGTAACCATGTGTTCAGGATCGAGGAAGTTTGTTTGTTTTTTATTTTTTAATTCTTTTTTACATATCTTTTCGGGATGCTGAAGTGAGCAGACATTAGCATTGTTTGCAAGAGTCGTGCGGTTTTTGCGCTTGCTTCAAGAATTCAATTTGTTGATCAAGGATTTCTTTTTGCCAGATTGGGTGTAAACAACACTTTCGATCTTTTAGGGGGGGGGCAGGGCAGCGCAAAAAACATTTTCAACTGCACTGACAACATTCAAACAACATACCAAGGGAATGATCACAAGGGTTCACCGTAATGTTCTTGCGTCGCAACACGATTCCACAGGAAACGGGCCTTGTGACGAGTAAAAAATCCGTAGAAGTGCGGCTTCAAGTCAAGTATGGCTATGCTGTGCCGCGAATTGATTTTGCGTTTTGATTTGCAAATGTTATTCCTTGTCACAGCCTTTGTTTTATGTTCGGAGTGGGTGCATGTAGACACGATCATTGCGTTGGACGTGATAGGCACGACAGCTGAACGATGTATTGCGGAAAATGCAGCGGCGCAAAAGCTTGTCAGTCAAAGTACGTGAAGGTTGGCCTTGCAAGTCTCGTTGAGCGCTTGAAAGCTTGGTTACCGCGCCAGAATTGCCATGAATTTCATTTTGTTTAATGTGCCGAGCTCGCCAAATTGCAGAATCGCAGACAGCTCTCACAAGTAATGTGCAGATAGAAGAACCTAAAAATCAAGAAGGTTGCAACGGCTTGCTCTCCAACACCAGTGCTGCAACCTGCCGCACGCGACCGCCTTTGCACGCTGGAGCAAGTGACCGCTCGTGACCCCGCCGCAAATGCGCTGCAAGTGAATCCAGCAAGTAACCGCCACTGCCCGCT